GCGGTTTTTTACGAGTTTCATTTTCAAACGGTTGCCCCAAGTAGCATAAATTATGCTTATTAGCTAGCAAAGGAAGATGGGGTAGGTCTAGTTAGTAGAGAGTGGGAGTGGGACACCAACTGAAATGTCGGTTTCACTTCTAGTTTGGTTTTGCTTTGCCTTTCGCTTTGGCAGAAGTTTTTGGCCGACATTCGCCCTCTTGACTTTTAATTGGCTCATTGTGTTTTGTTGTCTACAGGGGTATCCCACGTCCCTGCCCCTCCGCCAGTAGTTTTTGTGGTTCCGCTGGTCAGAATATACACTGCTTTGACGCGGCATCCACACCCACCCACAGCAACACACCCACTCATTCAGCTTGCAAATTATGTTCTTTTGACAAGTTTTTTGGTAGCTGCTCTTTGCCTTTTGCTGGTTTTTGTTTTTGTTTATGTTTTTCTTTTAGCCAGGGTCTTGCGGTGTTTGTAGTTATTAATTATATTTTGAACGCTCAAAGTTAATTGTTTCCCGCATACACAGAAAAACAACAACCTGGCACGCATAATTGTTAATAATTTTTCAAAAGCAAAAGCTGTCATCTGCTGATGATTTGCTAATTGCCAAGTATTTAGTTGTTTTTGGCAGCCGCAGAAAAGGAAATTGGGGGAAATAAAGAAAGGAATGTGACGACTAGGGGAAGACTTTGCTGCTCGAAGTTCATAGATTTTTCACAGTGCCTGGCGCAAGGCTTTGGAAAGCTGTAACTTTGCATCAAAAGATTCGAATATTCTCTAATTTTCCTCTGCCTTTCGCTCTTTTATGTACCCCCCCCCAGATATACCCCTTTCCTTGCTATGTCTACAGGGTACAAACATTTAGCAACGCCCACAAATAGCGAACGAAAGCGATCGTTGTCTACGCTCCGTCGAGCACACGCACACTCTCACAGCGAAAGCGATAGCGATCGTGGGCTCGAGTGAGACAGCCAGAGACGACTGGCTGCTATACTAAATACTCGACTCGTATCTGAACAATGTGCTTGCTGTCTTGGCAACGCCCCTCTTTTTGTTTTAAACGGACCCGAGACCCGAGACCCAATCGAGGCAGACGATGATGCTCTTTGGCTGCTGCCTGCCTGCCATTGCGGTGTTAAAGTGATTTATGAATAATTTCAAGTGGTCCGCCATCAAATGAAATTATTTATTCAAAAATAGCCAAAACCCGAAGCTGTAAAACTGAATGGAAAGCCAGCACAAAGCTTAAATAATGCTCAACCAAAGCGAGGGGAAGGAGGGCAGCGGCGCCCATTTGTGTGTGGTGGCAGCGGGTCGTATGCGTAACAATTTAATTAAGTTGCGGTCCCCAATAATAATACTAATAATACCAAATTGCATTTATTGTCTGAAGTTTATGCACATTTAGAGAGCGCAAAATAAATTAGTGACACTTTTGTGGCTGCCGCATTGTGTTTTGTGCTAATATTAGCGTGTTATTAATAACGAAACATAAATTATCAATTAGGCAATATTTATTTATTAATTATGGGGGAAACACTGTGGCTGCTGTTTGCTCGATATTTGCTGTGTGGTTTTGTTTAAGTTATTCATGAATTGATTCAATAATTACCGACTAATAAAAGCAAATTAGTGAATTGATTAAACAGAGACAAGGGCGAAAGTTGAGCACATAAATACAGCAAACGGAAAATGTAATTAATTGGCCATTTGGGGATTTATTTGGCTAAATATTAGAGTCATTGGAACTACACTTAAAGCATCGACAATAATTATCATCATTCCATTTTATTTCGCATTTCAATTGCCTAATCAAAAGGAATATAAATAATAAAATTTCCTTAATGTAATTGGCCAACCATTAAGTAATAAAATGGTGAAAAATAAATGTGTTTGATTGCCTGTAAACGACTGAATTATTTGTGGAATTCGGTGCCCAAAAACTGCAACTGCCACTGATAGATATCGATGGCAATATTAACAACAATATTCCAACAGCCTGGATAAGGAGTATCTGGGTCTGAGAGTATGTTCATTTGCATATGCGAAAATTAATTTTACGCAGCATCATTTTTGCCCTTTCAGTGACACAAACAGGCCATGAATGTAAATAAGCCTGCAGGGGCAACAGCAGGGGCAGAAACAATGTAAAACCCACAACAATATGGGAATATGGCCGGCCTAGATGGGGGGGGGGGGGGGGGGGTCACCATTCTGGGCTGTTGCCCTCAGAGATGAATTGCCATTTGATTTGTTTGTGCTGCTTGTGGCAGCAGTTTAATTTAATTATCGCATTTGTCATTTGGCCAACTGCCAGAGAGCCAGAGAGCCAGGGACATGGATGGGCCTGGGCTAGGCCCAAACCAACAACACAGAGAGAGAGAGAGAAGAGGATCTTCTCGGGATATGAGTTGTGTGGTTCACTTGGGAGCTGTAAAACTGATTCACAGTCGTAAGAGGCACTCGAATTGAATGTCTCGTGGACCAAAGCAGAGACAAGTTTAAGCTTGATTTTGGGCCATCTCTTTCTCACTGCCGCTTTTAGTTAATCAAATGATAATTCGCATGGGAACCAGTAGTTCGGATCAGTGAGTAAATCGCTGCATTTAGGTCACTCCCCAGGGGGTTGGGCACCTGAGTGGCAATTACATTCGGGCATTTATGAGCCGCCCGCTGCGTGGGCAAACATTTAAAATGAAATGCCTAATGCAAATTGTCGAGACAGGCACACACGGCGAACCGCAAGCTAAACAGTGTGCAGCGTATCTGTGCGGCATGCGGCATGCGGCATGCGGCAACATTATGCCACACCGAATGAACAGGCTGCAGACTCCACTGCAGCCGTGTGGCCTCCTCTTTTGGCCCCTGGCACTAATATGCAAATGTAATTTGCTGCGTTTGGCGCGTGACGTTCGTTTGGTAATCGCAACACAATTACAATGTTGTCAGTGCTGCCAGAGTGTGGGTGGAGTGGCTGCTGCCTGTGTCCTGTGTGTGTGTGTGTTGGAGGCAGGGACAGCCGCATCTACGCGTAATTAATTGATTTTTATCTGGCTTAAGGCTATTTTACAGTTTGTTGATGACAGACGATGCAGACACAAGGCGCGTCCCTCCACACGAGTCTATTTCGAGAGCATTTTTATGACTTTCAAGGAAGCGCATTGCCAGTTGAGGCTACAATTTCATATAAATTGAGTCTTATTTGAGCTGCAGAATATTTTAAAAATCTTTCAGCTAGTTGGCCAGTTGGCAGCACACTCAAAATGCCTTGCAGTTATCAGTCAATCTGGTAATTTGATTCCAATTAGTGGTCGCTCATACTGTGCAGAGTAAAGTAAGCCAGTCACCATTTACCGAGCATCCGAGCACAATGCTCCTGTGCGTGTGTCTGCTTGTGTGTGGTCAATGGGAAAATTGGCAAGTGGCAATGCAAATGGCCGAGAGGCTTAATGCTGAGCCACAGCAGGATACGGAGAGCGAGAGCCAGTCTGTGTCCATGTCCTGCAGTTAATTTGCTGTGATTATTGCTGTGATTAACACATACATGTTTATGCGCCCAGGACTCTGTTTTATATATAAACATAGCTGTAAGGGGAGAGCGCAAATCTGGCCACTGACTGCACTTTGGAGCGACGTGGCCATGTCCATGGCCACAGCACAGCACAGCACAGCACACAACAGCACAGGATGATAAATGGCCGTGCTGGCTTATAATATTAATAACACAGACACAAAACACTAGAACATGTCGACATGCACGAACATGTGGCCTCAGAGAGAGGGAGGCCTGCTTAGTGCTTTGTCTGTGTATATGTATGTGAAATTGTAATTAATTGACTTGATGGAGAATGTAATTTAATTAGGCAAGCACTTCGATGCGTCTCTGATGCCAATATCCTTGTTGCACGCTGCCTGTCTCTGTCTCTGTTGCCATCTCTGTCAGTATCTCTGTCTGGAGTCTTAGGCATTTGTGCTGCCACATGACGTATGCGTAACGTGACGATTATTCATGCAAATCGAAGGCATGAGCATTCGCCATTCTATTGGCAGTGGCAGAGATTGTTGGAGTGAATGAAATGTGGAATTGATTAGTTATAAAACAGCACCTGATATGGGGAAAAGCTGATTAATTTTCGAATGTTTTCGTGCGCTTTAAGGTCATGCCAGGACATGCACCGAAGCACATTCAAAGCACATCAATTTGCGTATTGTGTTTGGTGCTCCTAATTGGCCGACAGCAGTTGGCCCCCAGGCATGTCCTTGCTGCATAGTTAATTTATTCTAATTAGTCAATAAATCTCAATTTATTTTACTCTCTCCCACTCTCTCCGTGTGTGCTGCTATTTGCTTATGCTTTAGGGCAGGCTTTGCCGCTTGTTGCCATGCAAACTGCCTTGACTACTGCTCCACTCTACCCCTTGGGAAAATGTCCTGCCAGCTGCCGCATGCAGCACAACTGCAGTGCAGCAAATTGTGTGTTCTAGAAATTATAATAATTACTGAGGCATTAACCAGCATCACACCTTGCCGCCTTTTGTTGCTGCACTTCAATTAAATGACAATAAATTGCATGGCTACATCGAAATAATTTTCAAATTATTCAAATGCGGAGCATAAGTTTTTGCATTTAACATTGCCCATTATTGGGTTATTGTTTAAAGTATTTAAAGCTGCAATGGGGCTTGACATGGCTGAGAGTTTCAACAGTTTTTACCAGCCGGTCAATCGCTCTTCTCCCAATTGTTATTCAAACATTTCATTTCAATTTGTTTTATTTTATTTTTCCTGTTGCAAATTAGGCAACCACTCGGCGGCAGCCACTCGCACAATTGAATATTCATTGAAAAATATGAGCATCAGATGAGGATTATTGAGAGCGAGAGAAAGGCTAACAGAGAGGCGGGAACTTCAATGAACTTAATTAAATGACCACAAAGTTGCCAGTTGTGTGCAAATATTGTGGCCTAGTCCCCCAGCTTGTTTAATGTTTAATAAAGAGTTGTTAAATACCTGCGTTTCGGTGACTATCAGCAGCTTGGCCATTTCGGTGCGCTCGCTGGAGCTGAGATATTTCTTGACCTCGAACTGCTTCTCCAGCTCGAAGATCTGGCGACCCGTGAATGTGGTGCGTGCCTTCTTCTTGCGCCGCGCATCCGTGGAGCCCGAGTCGGAGTCATCTTCGGTGGTCTCCATGTTGCTGTTGTTATTGCTGGCCAACTGCTGTGCTGGATTGCTGGCCATCAGCTTGTCCCGCATCAAGCTGTCGCTGCTGCCCGTGGGGCTAATGTCCGGCGGCAGGGCCACTGTGCTGGCTGCTGCTGCTGCTGCTGCCGTTGTGCCGCTGCCGCTGCTGCTGCTGGTCGTTGCAGTTTTCTTTTTCTTGGCCGGCGGCTTGCCCGTGTTTTCTGCAATACAAAAATATATGGAAAACATTTAGCCATAGTTGTACTTGTAGTTGTTGTTGTATTTTGCAGCTGTTTAGCCGCAATTGAGGTCATTTCATAACCACTTTTTGCTATTAGCCAGTCAAATATAACAGCCATTGACTTGACGCTGCCTCTGCCCAACCCTAACTGCATTTTCTTGCTCTCTCTCTCTTTCGTTCTCTCTTGCTTTCCATGTGTCTGTCTATCTCTTTCTGGCTAGCCTCTGGCTGGGGGGTCCTTAAAGCAATGAAAACTTGATAAATTCTAAGCAATTTTATGGTTAAATATGTTCCATATTATTCTTCAATTAATGTCATAGTTTTGAGTCTTAAAATCTTATTCATTCATTTTCAAAATCTTCATAAAGTTCTCATAGAAAATCTTTAAAAATCTGCCTTTTAAATCTCTTAAAAACAACTAAAAATATTTTATTCCTTAGTCTTCTGGCCCACTGGCGGCCGCTTGTCGTTTCGTATCCACGTGAAAACAAGTGTTAACAATGCTCTGTGCTTGGTCTTGGTCTTGACTGGGGCCAAAACGTGTCTGGCATCGAATCGAACGAACCAAAAAACCGAACGAAAGCCAAACCCAAACCCAAACTCAAACCGAATCGACAACTTCAATTACCAATGCATAATTGAAATCTAATTGACAGTTAAATGCAAAACGTTCAGATATATAGCGCGGCTGTCGTTGTCGAAATGCTAATACGCCGCGTGGGTAGCCCCGGACCCAGTCCGTCCCCAGTTCGGCCTCATATATGGCGCATACATATGCCTGACACTGTGATTAATTAGACCGTGGGGGGGTGAGGAGGGAAATCTATTGTCGCTGTGCTCGTTGTCGCCTCTGGTAATTGGCAATTTTTGCCAATGGAAGAACCACCCAGCAAACCCCCCCCCCCAGGGCTCGAGTTGCCGGTCCAGCCGAGGGTCCCGCGTCTAGCCGAGTCCACTCGAGCGCAAAGGGCGCCCCAATGGCGCGAAATCAATAAAACCAAATGGCAGAAATACAAAAACAACAACAGCAACTTTTGCAGCGGCAAAAGCGTTAAAAGCCTCCAAAAACAAAGACAAAACAGCCAAAAGCTTGTGCAATTAGAACAATAACAATACACAAAGTTTGCACAACTGTTCGCTCGCTGGCTGGTTGTTTGTTGTTGTTGTTGTTGCTGTTTGTTGTTGTTAGGCTTAACGCCAATTGGCAATTGCCATGTCATTTGATTAGGCCCAGTGCAGAGAGCCATTTAAATGTCGTTCCATTGAGTAGACACAGCGAAATGAAAAGAGTAACTACAGTGAGTACTGCGCATAAAGTCCGCAATGGAACGTTTAATTCTGGGTTTTTATAGCCATTAAGAAGCGAAAACCAGGGGGAACCAATCTGCAGATATACAGAAAAAATTTAACAAAACTAAAGTCAAAAATTGGTTCGAAATTTCCAAGTTGAAGAAACGCAAAAAATGTTAAAAAATTGTTCCAACTTTGACTCAATATATCTTCAGTTCTCAACATTATATTAATACAAATAAAAAAACTCCAAGACAGGTCAGGCAATTATCTTTTTTAGTCCTTAAATGGATTTTTGTATGAAAGTGCGCAAAAAGATGCTTCTACTCAGATAATATCCATATTTATAGGTGGGAAAAATTGAGAAATTTTGCAGAAACATTCCAAAAAGTGTTCCTTTGCTTTGGCTTTGGCAACGCCTTTTGCTATCAAACCACAATAAAGTAGGGTATAGGTTATAGGGTATAGACCCTGCGTGTGAATTATAATTACCCCAATGACTGGGACAAAACTCGAGTCGGATGTGGCTGGCAAATGTTGTCTGGTCTGGAGGTTCTGTTCGTTCGTTCGTTCGTTCGTCATTCAATCAGAATGGGCATGAGTGGCAGGCAGTTTGTTGTTTGTTGTTGTAAATGTTGTTTTGGCCAAGTCTGGTACGTGATTTTAATAACAATAAAAACTGAACACAGAGCAGCATTATTGAGCATTGAGCAATTAACGCGCAAAAACAAAACTGCAACCAAAGTGGCCCACAAAAGAGGCAACAAAACTTCAATTCAAATTCATTTCGTTATTCATTTATTATTTGCTACTGCATATTCTATTGAGTATTGTATGTATATTACGCTGTCGATTGCCATTGCAATTGTTGTTGCTAATTGCATTTGGTTGTTCTCTTTTGTTTTTGTGTATAGATTTTTCATGTTAAATCATTTGAATGCGCCGCAAAATGCAAACTCGAGCCAAAGCGATTAATTTTCGCGCATTTCAAAGCTTAATTAATTAAAAGAACTGAGAAAATCTCAAACTATAAACTAGCAAGAATACAGAGAAATTACATTTGGGAAGACAAAAGTCTTGAAACATTTGAGCAAATGGCCGTGACAGCTTGCAAAACATTTGAGCAAAAGGCAGAGCAAAGTTTTTCTATTAAATATAGAAAAAGTCAAAGATTTAATTGGCTGTTCTTAATGCACATTACAATGTGTTGAAATTGCTTATATTAATTGAATCCCTGTGCAGCTAAATTGTAGCCTAAAGGCGACCAAAGCAGAATCCTAACCAAAAGGATTTGTTTCTCAGCCATTTGCAAGCATCATTAATTTAAAGGCAAAACTTATTTATGTACAAAATCCAACAAAGTTACAACCTCTCAAGTCTGCTTAGACATTCCCTTTCAAAAAGTCGAACAAAAAGAATGTAATTACCTATTAATGTTGGCTAAATTCTGTACAAAATTGATTGGCATCCCAATTGAAGTCGACTCGAATCCTAACTGGAGTGTGGTAAATCCTAATGGCCAAGCCATTAGCCGTATTTTGGCTGCCAACAAACAAAAAAAAGAGAGAAACACAAACAGCCAAAAATAGGAGACGGGAATGGAATGGTATGCCAGCCAGCCAGCGTTGGGCATCATTTGAGTTGGCAGAACCCGGCAAACGCCGCGTTGCCCGCCGCACGCTTCGGTGGAGCGTGTTGAGAGCTCTGCGCGCCGCTCAATTGGCAGGCTCGTCGAGCGTTGCCACAGATACGAGGCGCCAATATGGTATTTGGTATGCACAAGGCATAATTAGAGCAGGGTGCAGCTAGGAGTCGTGGGAAAGGAAAGGAACGTTGGATACCCTTGAAAAGGTTTCCTTTATGGAAGTGTTAAAAAAGGAAAAGGCTACATACAAAAGGTCATCTACAAATTGGAGATTATTTTCTCTACAGAATTCTTTAGCTGCCCCTTAAGGGGTATTCAGTTTTGGACTTACCTTTCTTGGTCTTGCCCAGCAGTGTTGTTGTTGTCTGCCTGCTGCCGGCTGTGGGCATGGGTGAGCTGTTGTGCGCCTCGCGCGTCTTTTTGGCCACACACAGATTTAATGGCTGATCGAGCGGTGTGCTGACTGCGGCTACGCTTGGCACTCCCACCGGCAGGGGTGCAGCTACTCCTCCTCCACTTGCAGTGGCATTGAGGGAGCCATCCTCCTCGCTGGCATCGCTCATCGAGATGGAGGCGCTGCGCATGGGTGCCTGATCCTGGTACTGCTGCAGTATGCTGTTGGGCGACTTGGCCGGACCTGTTGGATCGTAGGCGCTCTCGGAGGCACACTTTTCGCCCACGGCCATGCCCAGGATGTCGGCTATGGAGTGTGGAGTGGGACGATTGGGTGGACGGGCATAGACATGGGCATGCCAGTTGGTGGGGGCAGCAGAGCGACGCTGTTGGGTTTGCTGTTGCTGTTGCTGTTGCTGCTGTTGCTGCTGTTGTGGCAGCACTGAGCTGGGTCTGGCTGGTGTCGCCTCCAGTTGCTTCTGTAGAAATGTGGTTGGTGGACTGCAGCTGTGGGGTGTGCTGGCGGAGATCGGGCTGCCCATGTTCTGATGGCAATTGTTGTTGTCGCGCACGCGCAACAGATTGACGAGCTTTTCCTTGCTGCTCGGACTGACCATCGAGGACACGGATGTGGGTGGTATGGTCAGAGGATTGCTGTACACATAGGTGCTGGTGGCCATCTTGTAGAGATCGGCTGTAGAATTGTGCTGCAGTTGCTGCTGATGCTGGAGCTGCATTTGATGCTGATGCTGATGCTGATGCGGATGGCTGGGATGATGATGATGATGCTGCTGCTGTTCCTTGACTATGCCGTAACCATGCCCCAGGGCACCGCTTACCATTTCAGCTGCCACCAACTGCGAATCGCGTTCAGTTTCGGGCATCATTTAGGCCAATTCTGCTGCCTGCAACGGGACAGAGAGAGAGAGAAAAAGTTTAAGTGGGGATGTTGGATTAGCTTCAACAGCTGCACATTTGTCGTCAAGTTGCTAATGGCCTTTGCTGCCACCCGACGGCTGGTAATGTAATTTGTACGCCAGCCCCAACCCAAAGTCTTTGCTTCTGCCTCATTTTCCGACATTCCCTTCTTAGAAGCAGAAACAGTCCCCGACCCCGACCCCGACCCATCTGCTGCTCCAAAAGTAATGCAATAAAATACAGCGTCAGTCCGTTTGCCTGCCACTTGCTGCCTGTGCGGAATGTAGTTCAACTTACTTAGCCCGCCCAGGCCAGGCAGGCCTTGACATGGGGCCTGGGGAGGGAGCTGGGACTGGCAGTGGAACTGTGTTAAAGCTGGGTGGGTCAGTCGTAGCCTATTTCCTGGCGCACTGCGTTGTGATTTGCATAACAAAATGTTGCACAATCATTGCGAGAGTGGGAGAGAGAGGACTTAACCAGGCAGCACAGCACACATACGTTTTTCGAGTGGCAAAGAGGACTGGGACTGGGACTGGGACTGGGCTGTCGCTCCTCTCTGTTGCACAGCCTTGTACAATTTGTCATTGTGTGTGTGTCCCGTGTTTGTTTTTGCAACTGCTGCGAGTGTTGGCTGCAGAATTTATGGCACAACATTTGAGTGTGACACAAATTGAGTTAAAACGTTAAGTCCGGCCATAAAAGTGTGACAATGTGGGGGGGAGTTCAAATTATAAATCAACTAAAATTTGTTTCTATATTTGATGCTGAATTTTAGCATCAAATGCTAACGGTTTATTGCAAACATTTTACGGCAGTTAATTTGTTGGCAACAATCTGTCTGTCCCTGACTTGTCAACGCTTCGTTATGTGTCGCCGTAATACGCTATCTGACAACCCCCCCAAAAGCAATTTAAATTAATTCAAAGTGCACACTCACACACCCCCGACCCCACACACTGTGTGCTGTTTCCGAGAACTTTCGGCAGACTGCCAACCAAACACACCACCCACCACCCACACAAGAAACCAGAAACGACTGCGACGTTGCCCTCTCAGTCCAAAATGTCAGATTCAAGCAGTGGAGTGCAGAGCGGGCGCTCAATAACGGTAATGCGTGCTTAAATGTTTTTTATTGCCATCAAAGAGGAGGCAAAGCAGCAGGCAGAGGCCATGGAAACGAAGCAACATTCACACACACACACTCACACACACAGTGAGCGACAAATTTCTCTCGCAACATTTCGGTGGAGAGCGCTAGCTGCATGCTGCTGGCAACATGTGGCCAAGGCCATGCCAAATCACTTAAAGCCAAATAAAAGGAAATAAATGGCAAAAGGCAAGAGCAAAATGCCAGTTCAAGTCTGTTCAGCTTTTCCAAAACGATGATGAGGTGGAGAGTGGGAGTGAGCCAAAGAGAGGTGGGTGGCTGCTTTGGGGGACAAATTCAAGCAGCGGAAGCAGGGCAGGCAAGCGGAAGAAGTTATTTCAATTGCCTTGGCAGCAGCACCCCGCACACCGAACACAGACAGAGAGAGAGAGAGAGAGACAAAGCCATGTGGGGGAAGTGAGCTACATACAAAGAGAGAGAGAGAGAGAGAGAGAGAGAGAGTCGTGTGTGGGCCAAAAAGAGTGCGCCCATCCCGTGGCGTCCCGTCTGTGCTGTGCTGCTGCTGTGTGGGGCACGTACAGTAGCTTAGTTCTGTGTAAGTGTGTGTATTAGTTACCTGGCACGCTTTTGCCTGCTTCGTGCCCCCGATGTCCGTGTGGCAGGACCCAAGTGTCGAGTGCCAGAACGAGGGCTAATGGCATTTAAGTTCTGTTAGCCCCGGACTCCCATGTGCCAGGCCGGAGCGGGCTTTGGGTGGGAATGTGTCTCATAGCGGAGATAATAGGATGGAATACAGAAGCGGCAATGGTCTGTGCGGTTAGCTCTTGATAAAGCTAAACCTAGCAATCCCTTAATTTGGCAGCTTTTGTAAGTTAAGTGTTGTCATTCCGCACCTCAATTGTGTTTTCTTTGCTGCAATCAAAGATAGTTGGGGGCAACATCAATTGTGCAAACCCTTTCCTGCTTTAACTCCGCTCCTGTTTTATTCTGCCTCGCACATGAGCTTATATTTCGCTTATAGTCTACATTTTGGGCATTTTTTTGGCAACTTTAGCCACCCAAAGTTGGCCTCAGGGCGGCATTCTGGCTGTCCTCTCCGTCTGCTTGCCACCATTTTGTCTATTTTATTTCATTTTCATTTTATTGCATTGACAACAACACAGCAGGCAGCACACACACCACACACACACATTCCACAGGGGAGAAGCAGTGTAAAGCAGTGTAAGCAGCAGGGTGACTGCTTGTCTGACGTTTTGCTGGAATTTTAACAAGCCACTCGCCCGAATCATCATCATCATCGGGCTCTGTGCTTCATTTGGCCCACGGCTGCTTTTTGTCAGTGTGTGTGTGTGTGTCCGGGATCTAACCTTACAGTCAGTCAACCCATACCCAAACCCTGCCATTCCATCAAATTCGTCCTGCTGCTGCTCGTCGTTCTCGTCTTTGCTTTTCAGCTTTTTGCCATCTCTTCGTTTGGTCTCTTGGCCTGGCCATGTGTTAGCTTTGACGTTAACTGTGGCTGATTTTGCCCGCCAAGTTTTGTCTCTTGCAGCTGCACCTAAGCATGGCACAGCTTCTGCCTTCCTCCTCCTCCTCCTCCTCCTGGCAGTCTCTGTCCGTTCTGCCTTGTCAGCATAATTTAATGTGCCTGCGTTCGTCGTAGTCTTTGCTCCTCCTCCTCCTCCTCCTACTCGTCTTACTGCTTGTCTGCATTCTCTCTTATTTTACTGTTATTTTTCCCTGTGTCCTCGCTTGGTGGTGTGCTGTTTGGGCAAGTGAGTGCTGTCAGCCTGCCAGTTAAAGTGTGTAATTCGTCATTCATATTTGCGTTTTGAGTTGCCACTCGAGATGGAGATGGGCCGGAAATGAATGAGGACACGGTCGAACACGGAGGCAGGAATGGGCACGAAAAAGAATGTCCAGCAAGTGGAGAAATGGAAAATTATATGAAATCTCTTTGCTTTGTGCCACTTTTTTATGAAATAAATCAATTCTAAATATTTATTGACAGCGTGAAAAGCAAAGCCTACTATGATTTTAATTTTAAGCGATTGTTTTTTAATTGTTTTTAAATTAGATTTGGTAGAATTTCTATGATTTCTAGTTTGTTTTTATCTATAATTATGCACGAAACATTTAATTTATCTATCAAAAACTCTTTGTAATATTTTGCAAATTTTCGTGCCAAAAGCGTCACACAGCCGTGTGCGTGTCACGATGTGCACATCCCTAATTAGAGCTCCAACTTGCCCCAGACCTAACGTGAGTCATCATTTTTGAGCCTTGTCAACTTTATGAAGTATGGCTTTATGCATGTACCAGTTTTGTGTGTGTGTGTGCGTGTGCCTAACGTGGAGCGAAGCTTTTTCGATGTGAGACATCAAAGCTTCCGGCTAATCGTCCATAGAGCAGCAGCAACAGCCGCAAGCCACTTGAAGAATTTTTGACCCAGGGGAACGTTTGGGGGGCATGCGGGTCTGAAATATGCCGCTAATTGATTTTTATGAGGTGTTCTAATGAATTGCCAAACGAAAAATGTGCACACACACAACATACACCTACAGGAGGTATTCCCATGGCTGCAGGGGCGGCTGGCAAGCAACCAACGAACGAACCCAAGGCAAAGCTCTGCTCTGCATGTGCTGTGCTGTGCGCATATTTTGCCGGGAAGCTCGCTGAATATTTCATCAGAGTTATGTGCTCGCTAATTAAATTGCCGTGACACACACACACACACACACACACATCACACACTCCCCGGGGAGCAGCCTTTACGTGGCAATATCGACAGCCTGAATCAGGTGGTAGGTAGGACCTTGCAGCAATTTTAAATGAATTTACATTAACCCCAAGCCGCAGAGACTTGTCGGAAAACTAACTAACTTTAATTGTTGTACTTACACTTATGGCGCTTTTTCTTAATTAGTTTTTAGTGAAATTTTAACGCACAAAACTTAAAAAAACAAAAACACTCCAAGCACTAGGAAAATTCACAACGAAAATTAATTATTTTTTCAGCAGTTCAAATTGGAAAACAAGCTGCTCGAACGACAGTCAAAAATCAATTGAATTAAATTGAATTAGCTTAAAACGGTAAAGGAAGTGCTTAAAAACATTTGACAGCTCCAAAATGGAGAGAGAAAAAGGCAAGGATAACATGATGGGGAGCGAGAAATTGCCTTAAATGTTTCCTTAAATGTCGCAGCAACTCGATTCTTATTATTATTGTTTTCGTCTGTAGCAAGTCTGTTTTGCCCTGCCAACTTGGTTTGGTAAGTCCCCTTTTTACCCCCTTTTTCTACCCACATTTCAAACTGTGTTCTGGTAAACAAAAGTCGGTCGGTTCGGGTCGGATCGGATCGGGTCGGGTCGGGTGCCAGCGAACCTGGGCTGCATAAATAAATCATAAATTGTTGAAAACGATTGTCGAGTGTGTGTCTGTGTCTGTGGGTGGGGTTTGGTTGTGTGAAAATTGGTAAGGAAGGAAACATTCGATTGAAGGAATCGAAACGAATCGAATCGAAACGAAAACTTGCAATTTAGCCAATGTTTTATTTAACGATTGAGGGTTGTGTTGATGGCTTAAGTGCTGCCTTTTCGATGGCCCCGCAGCTGGGACTTGGCCATATAGTTTCTCAGAGCAGAAAGGTTTGTCTATAGAAGTTTGCTTCCATTTAAATGGCAGTTTTTGCAATTTAGCAAATGTTTTAGTTCACATGTTGCAATTGAGTGAGTCGATTGTTGTTGGAGTTGGTTCTTGATTGGCCCATTTACGTGATTATTGATTCGTGCAAACGAGTAAAATATTTCCTTGGGTTTGCTCAGACGAAAGTACTTCTGCCAGTGCTAAATCCGTGTAGCAAACAAACATTACAAAGC